AGCGAGCGCCGCCTGCAGTGGAGCGTGCTCGGCCTGCAGAGGCAGTCGTCTCCAACTTTTCCTCTCCCGCTCCAACTCCCCGCGCCCAAAACTTCGGCTCCAGGGGAGCCCAAATTTGCCTGCCACACAACTTCCACTCTAATGCAGGGGCCAAAGACCCTGGCAGCGGTTTGCAGCGTGGGGGCCACGCTCCCCATGCTCGGGCCTGCTCGCTGGCGTATTCCTAGTGTCTGGGCCCAGTTGGGGAAGGCGAAACTGGGCGCCCAAGGAGCACCCCGTGAGAGGGCGGAGCACTCCCGTGCCCTGGGGCAGGGGGGCAGGGAGCTCCCGCGCCCGGAACGTTGCGAGCAAGGCTTCCGAGCGTCGCAGGGGGGCACTCGCGAGGGACGGACAGGAAGAGGGCCAGGGGGGACGCCAGAACCCGGGACCACAGCACGGAAACGGCCCGGGGCTGAGCTGCAGTCAGATCCGGGGATGGAGGGAGCCGGAGAAGAGGAGTGAGAAGGCCGGGGAGGCAGGCCCTGCTGTCCTCTTGCAGGCAGGCAGCCTGCTGGCAGTGGAGGACCAGGCCGCCCAGGAAAGGAAGGGGTCAGGAGGTCGGGCAGAGCCTCAGCAGGCTCAGACAAGGCCCAGCCCGAGAAGGGAGCTGCAGGCGCCCTGGTGTCCAGGGCCCAGGCGTTGCCCCGGTTGTCCAAAGAGAGCCTAGGCCAGGCCTCTGGTCGGGAAACTGAGTCACAGCCAGACCCCAGGGCACGGCCTAGACGTTTACGAGCCAAGTTAGGGGTAGAGCGCAAGGACCTTCGGGGGTCTCAGGGAGTAGGGGGCTTCAGGGCCTCCCAGTCCACAGCCGGATTGGCGAGTTAGACGCTTGTAGATCCAAGGTTGGATTGGGGTGGGGTCTCTGGGACGTTGGCTCGCTACTCAAGGATTGGGGGGATTCAAGTGCTTAGAGATCGAAGTCTGGCCCTGGGTAGGGGGAGTCAGACAATTGGAAAGCCTAGGTAGTTATTTGGGGAGGGGTCTTTGCGCTTTGGCGAAGCGCAAAGCTGCGCCTTTTTGGCTTGAGGCCTTAGGCCTCGTCGAGAAGCTTCTGTGAAAGGGTGGGCCGGCCGGGCCAAGAGAAAAAAAGTGAATAAATCAGGACTATAAGTGGGCGGGGGGCCCCTGAGAGGGGGTCACAAAGGGTGAGACATGGCCACCAGGCGTTTAACCGACGCTTTCTTGTTGTTGCGGAATAATTCCATCCAAAACCGGCAGCTGTTAGCCGAGCAAGTGAGTAGTCACACCACCTCCAGCCCTCTGCATTCACGTAGCATTGCTGCGGTGAGTCTCCCGGCGGCCTCTCCGACACACGCACGGTGTGCACTGCGGCTCTGCCTGTCTGTCTGTCTCTGTCTGTCTCTCTGTTTAAAAAAAATATATATATAAGAATAATAAGACTAAGATTAGTAAGATCTCTTGGCTAGACTCAGGGGGCATCTGTAACCCTGGAGGGGGAAGAAGCGGTGCTAGGAGGCGCAGCTCCACCTCTGCCTGCTCCTCTCCTCACTTCCGCAGCACCCCCCCACCAACCCCCGCCTTGGCGTCACTGCGCGACAGGCCGCCTGTAATTTACATATGTTTTAACGCTAACATTGGGAAGCATTGAGGCTTTCCGAAGCCTTTTTGTTTCGTTTTGTTTGAGGCTCCCCTCCCCCCAATAGTAAGCCTCAGTTTGGTTCTAATAGCTGGGTGGCGGGATCGTAGACCCAAATCCTTGCAACTGAACGACTCCCTCCCCCCAAAGAGGAAGGAGTTGTGTTGTTGTTTTGTTTTGTTTTTTTTCTGCCCGTTTTCTTTTAACGGCTTCGCAGCCCTCTGTGTGGCCATGTTCCCTATGAATAATTGCTTCACTGTTCTTCCTGGGGGCTTGCCTTTGTGAGACTCAAGGTGCTAGCCTCTTCACTTTGAAATTCCCAGACGGGAAATTAAGCTTTCCTCTCCATTCGAACTTTTTTAAAAAAGCCTCAGGTATATGTGAAAATTAACCCCCTAAAATAGCACTTTCTTTTTTAAAATTAACCAGAACCAAAGCTTAGCAGTAGCGTTTTTTTAAGGGTGGTCCTGGAAAAATTACTGTTTTTTATCATTAATTTTCCCTTTGTGAGCCTCAGTTTACTACTCTGTTAAATAAGGGGCGAGTCTAGATGATCTATACAAGACAGTGATCATTAGCTCTGTAATGTCTTCACTTGCAAAGTGAAGTTAGGGAACCAGTTGTGGTGCGGACTACCTGCTGTAGGCAGGCTGGGCTGGAATAGAAGCAGCGTTGGAGCAGGTGGGGAATAGCCCAGGACCACATTCTTGGGGATTGATTATACTTGAAATAGGCAATTTTGGAACCCCCACATTTATTTAACCTCTTAGGGACTATGTTGCCAGGTCATTTTTTTTCTTTATTACTTTATCTAAATGCTTAAGAAAAATTATGCCTTGTGTCATGATTATCATGTCTACAAAGACAGTTTTTTGTAAGTCACAAGTGGAAAATGTCTTTGGCCATATCACTCATAGAAAAGTGATTTTAAGCCATGTGAGCGGCTTCAGGAATAAAAGCATGTACACTCATGTCAAAAAAGTGTAGAAACAGGGACAGGGCATGTGTGAGATTTCAGTTAAGAAGCTGAAGGTTTTTTTTTTTTTTTTTTACATTTATAAAAGGAAAGTAATGGCATTATATTGAAGTAAATGTAAAGATGTCTGGTAGCATAGAAACGGGCTAATTCTAGTGCTGATTTTAAAGAGTATACTGAAATCAGCCAAGAAATAGAGTAGAAATTGGATGAATACAATTCATCAGTGGAACTTGAGTAACATAAAATAAGAACTGCATGTTCCTTAAATGACTTGATTTTGTGCTGCCTCAAAAACAGCTGAAACTCATTAAGATTTTTAAGGTATCAGTTTTAATTGATTGAAAAACATACTGTTTATTTTTCAATTTTTAATCATTAAGTTTCAGAATACCCTGAACCTTTGGGTAACATGAGGTTTTTTTGTTTTTGTTTTTTTAACCATTAAGTCAGACAGTTTAAAAACCTAGTAGCTGAGACTGGAAGCTTTTTAAAAGTGCATCTCTGAATCAAACCACTTTAGAAAATTATTTTCTAAGTTAGGCAATTTTAAAAAAATATTTAAGCTAAACAAAATAATTAAAAATGGATAGCTAAAGTATACAGTTTGAAAAATGTCAGGATATATACAGATATATTTAGCTGACTCACAGCTTTTTGAAAATAGATTTCTAAACCCAACTAAAAATACGTTTCTAAGTCAGCATTAAAGAATGTTTTCTCAATGTCGTACCATTGAAAATGTTTATATTAGTCTGACCATTTAAAAATCCTTCTCAGATCATTGAAAGCCGTCATATAATTTAAAATATCCTTATAATCAGTCCATACTATCTAAAAAATAGGTATTGCAGTCTAACAAACATAGTTTGCCCGAATTAAATTTAAAAAGAAAACACAGATTTATATATTTTAATTGTGTGTGTTTTAAAAAAGATGACATGTCATAAATTACCGAAGTGTTTAGGAGTGAAGTGTTAAATCTTCACTTTGTTTACAGGTGATTATGAAATCTGTTTCTGCACACAATACGGCAAAATGCTAACAGGACTAAGTAGAGGTTACGATTTTTTTCAACTTTTCTAGAAGTTGGAAAAGCTTTATAAACATTTTGGAGCAAAAGGCATGTCTAACACAATTTGTAAAAACCGTATTAACTTTTAGCAATGCTTTTCACTGCATATCTAGCTCATAAAAAATTTAAAGCCTCTGTTTCTGACTTGTAAATTTCGAAGCCGTGTAGCAAATCAAACAATACAGTACCTGTCATTTTGAATATGGACTCGGTATTAGGTGACATTAAGGAACTATTAATTAAATTAATTATGATAAATTTGCTAATTTTATTAGAGATGCGTACTGAAATGTTTAGAGGTAAAACGTGGAGGCGTCTTAACCCCTCCAAAAATAGAGGAAAGAAATAAGGCAAATTGTTACTCATTGTTGAGTCTAGTGATGTGTATGTAAGGGACATTTTACCATTTTATAGGCTTTTCTGCGTGTTTGAAAATTTTTAAATAGAAACTTAAATATATTTGTTATAGTAGGTTAAAAAGACAATTTGTAAATATATTTCTAACACTCAGGCAATTTAAAAGGAAGTAACTAAACCTGAGATTAACTTAATTAAAAAATAATATAACCTGGAATTTTAAGTTTCTGATTGGAAGAAAAGGCTGTAGACTTTGATCTTGAGGCATTTGATACAAACTAAAAATAGGCCTACAATAAAAGACTTTAAAAAAAAAAATTGTAATCCTAAATTTTGACATCTTTATTTGAGGCAAAAGCTGCAGAAATTGATTGCAGAGTAGTGTGTATCTCACACCTCAAAGCAAAGCCCACCTAAAACCGCGTTAAACAAGCATTTTTTTGCATCCTAGTTGGAGGGAAAAGATGTTGGTTGCTGTGGTGGAACCTGTGCGTGCATACAGGTTTTTGCAGCATTCAGGCAAATATGTCAAATAAACAGGAATTTAAGGAGGAATACGCAGTGACCAGATAAACACAACGTCTCACGGGCCAGAAGGGACCTAAAGGTCATTTGGCCCAGCGTCTCCATTTGTGATAACCCCTTATGCCTGTTTTCTTTGGCCCCGTTCTGTGACAATGATGGGAAATGTCAACAGCTCCATGATTTTTACCACCAAAAAGTCTTTGCCTGTTAATCCCAACTATTTGTGTCCTGGGGTCCTGCTTTTAGTTCTGTATTCCATCTTTCTGGCAATCCCACAGCCTTGTTACCCAGAGTTCTTTCCAGGCTTAGCAGTCACAGCTCAGAGTTGTTCAGTTTCTTTCCTATAAATGATGTTTAGTTTTTCTGTATCCTTTTTAAAGTTCAGCACCCAGAACTGAACTAAACTGTACTTTTTTGTGTTCTTAGTGGTATTAATGTTAGTAAAACTAACTTAAAAACAGAGTGGGGTTTGACTTCATACACTCCTACAAATGCAGCTATATTTCTCCTGCATCTTGCTCTGGCCTCAGTTTTGAGTGCCCTGTCACGTTCATGCCTCAGGGCAGCATGAAATAAAAGAAAGAGCACTGAGAATTGAATCTGAGAATTGAGGCCGGAGTCCTGTTCTGCCGCAAGCTCACAATGTGTCCTTAGGCAAGCTTTTCATCTTTTTGGACATCTTTTGCCTCATTTGTAAATTGAGGGGTTTGAGTTAGATGATTTCTAGCGGCCCTATCAATTCAACAGTATTTTCTCAACTTCTGTTTTAATACATTGTTTCTCCTGACTTTCACTTTAATTTGAAAAGGAGAAATTCATAGTCAACAATGTTGTGGCTGTCAGTCCAAAATTACTGACAAAACTCCTTAGAAGTAGCCCCAGTACTGTGCAAAAGTTACTTTCACATTATTATACCAGCCAAGGGCAGGTTTTAAGGAAGCAGCTTGGCTTTAGGAAGCTGAAATGGATTTATGAAGCTAAACAATCATTCAAAAAAAAAATTGTAAAGTCAGAAATGAATGAAAGATAGATGTTAAGATGCTCCTGTGATCTGATGAAATTCTGTGTGGATTTGTGTGGTTTCCTTCGATTGCCTGGAATGGATCTGATATGGGGGCTGGAGCTACTTTGTTAGTGTTTACTGCCTAATCTATACTCTGCTTTAAAATAATGCATAATCCATAATTGGAAGCTAGAGTTAATTGGTCTTAGATTTCTATAATTGGAAGCTAGAGTTAATTGGTCTTAGATTAGTTTGAAACTTAAGCACATTATTTTTAATAAAATGTGTGCTTTAGGAAAAAAAAAGAAATTAAGGATTAACTATGGTTATAGGAAACCTGAAGTCCCTATTCAGGCTTGACTACAATATTAGCTAAGATTTATGGAGAATTTACTATGTGCTTGGCTCTGGGCTAACCCCTTTCCATGTGTAAGCTCAGCTCAGCTTCACAGTGCTCTATCAAATAAGTACTATTGTTTTTCTCAGATACAGATAAGAAAACATTTTAGAGCAGGTAGGAAACTGGCCCAGGGTCACCCACCTGATGAGTTGGGGGCTGTGACTGGAACTCTGGCACACCTGGCTTCAGAGCCCCGTGCTCACCTCCTGGGCCATTCTGGCGTTGGCTGCATTTTCAGAACTTGTGCTGCAGATCCTGGAAAATGGAAGGACCTACTGTTTTAAAACAATTTTTTTTTTCTTGCAGTAGGCTAGCATCTTTCTTTATCTCACTTTACAACCTTACATAGCCTGTTTTAACTTGCAGATTGAAGGCTCTAAGTTTTAGTCCAAGCTGAGTCTGTTGGAAAATAAGTTCTGTCTTTAGAATCCAACTATGAAATCATTATATATTTCTCTTTAGATCTACTTGCTTTTCTGCTTTTAAAGATTCCATGGGAGCAGTGAGGCTTACTTTGAGAATAAGGGTACTTTGTTGGATCAAAGTGAAGCAAACTTTTATTTTGGCAGTAACGGAAATAAAGTAAATATCACTATAGCATAGACCTGTGTTTCCAACTCATTTTGCTCAACTTTTCCAGACTTCCTGAGTAAACACAGATGGGTTTCCACTTATTTTTCAGTTTTATGTAGAAAGTTCTTTAGACTATAAATTCCACATGCTGCTTGGAGTTTTCAGTATTTGCTTGATTGCATGCCCTTGGCAGGTCAGAAACCTAGATTTAGACATTATGAAGATTTAGAAGGTGATGATGTGGAGTAAAGTGTTTTCATTTGGCTGTATTTTGGTCTTTCCTGATGGTAATTCTAAATGTTTTAATTCAGGTTTTGACTAAATTTCCTGGTAATTTGGTGGCAGGCAGAGTTTTGAAAGCCTTCTATTTTTAAGTAGCAGAGTGGTGGGGAGGGTCTTTGAAAAGGTGACCTGAATTTAATATTCCTGATGTGGTGGTAGCTGCCTATCACAAGCAATTCCCCGAATTGTTAATAAAATTAGGGAGGCTGGAGGGTGGGGTGGAAAGAGACCTGAACCACCTGGGTCTGTCCCCATTCTGACCATTAGCAAGCTCTGTGCCTTCCAGCAGTGCAGTTCTACATTTTGAAGCTTAGTTTTCTTATTTGTAAGAAAAGAGTTATTTCTAGCCCTAGAATCCCATGATTCTGATTTCACCTCTTATCAACTAGTAATTGTAGAAATCAGAAGATCAGGGTGTGTGTGCTGGGTTAATAATCCAAGAGCATAGGCACATGTGCCACAGAGATTTTAACGGAGGCTTAATAGCACATCGTTCACAGATTAAATGCTAAGGAGCCGCTGCAGAATAGGAAGGAGACTGAGATACTCAAGTTAGGGGTTTTGTTGTGCTACATGTTTTATTAATAAAAGATTTCAATGTTCTCTTAATGTTAAGCTTTTAAAAAATAAAAAAACAATTTCTTTGTAAAGTAAAAGGTAATCAGATTTCCATTTGATACTATCTTTATTAATATCGTCTAGTACTACTATTATGGCAGGGTGTGTATATAGATAGAGTTCTTTTTTGCTCTCAGCAAATTATGGAAGGAATGAAGAGGATTTTCAGCTTTCTATAACGTCATCTAATTGAATTTTCACATGGAGTAAAGTTTGATTACATTTTTATTGCTATCATTGTTTAATAATATTTTGACCCTGATAGAGCAGCTTCATTTACACTATTAATTTTTAAATAAGCTATTTTTTTATTTTCTAAATTTACTGCTAACCATAAAAAAACAGTTGATTGTTGAATTTCACCACTAATTATTTCAGTGATCAATAGTGTACCAAAAGAAAACCTAGTCGTTTAGATTACCTGTCATTAGTAAATGTCTGTCCAGAAGATAGAGTTCCATGTTGATCTGAAAAAGAATCTTTAGTTTTAAATTGAAACTTAACCCTCTGGTGTCATGCTTCTCCCTTCCCACTCCCCTTAAAAGAAAAAAAAATTATTCTTACCTTTTGTTTTGTCTTGTTTCCTTGCTTTTATAAGAGCTTTATACATAACTGTGCTTTCTAGCTAATAATAATACATACCAAGAAATGGTAAGAGTTTTTCTTTTATTTTGCCACCTGTGTCTCTCTCCGGGAAAGAGTGGTTTCTCGGCTCTCCTATTATCGGGGATGGAGCCGTGTCTGCAGGATGTAATTTGCAGAGGCCTTACATATGTGGTCACTCACATGTTATCTGAATACAGCTCAGACAATTTTTGTGGGTCGTTCATTTTTTAAATTTTGTTGCATTTGCAGGTCTGATTTACATGTTAAAATATACATTTATTTGATATTATAAAATTACATTGTAGCTCTGCTCTCTTATTTTCCTAAGGGAAATTTAAAATGTGGTATTGTATATGATATTTGGTATTTATGAAACACATTAACAGCATATTTTAGTGAAACTAAAGCAAGTTTGTTTTATATGTTTCCAGTGTATTTTAATATTTACAACCATTTTTTGCTTGTTTAAATCCTAGCTCATTTTCAAAACAACCATAGTAAATAAAAATAAAAGCATATATTGATTTTTAAGCTTATTTTTAAAAAGGAAGATCAAAAGGAGTTTTTTTTTAATGCCTTGCTTAGTGGATCTTTATATTTAGTCAGCTTAAAATCTCAGTGTTTTCTCAACTGACCATGCCTTGTCTGTCTGTCTGTCTGTCCCATGCTGCTTTCTTTTTGCTTTCCCTAACTGGATGGGACTGATGGGAACAACATGTCTCTTCAGGAGCTGGACGAGGTATTGTGTTTTGAATATTTTTATATATTGAGTAATTTGAGTTTATAAAATACCTGCTTTTCCTGAAGTCTTTGCTCATATATAAAATGCTAAGAGCTTATAAATATTTTAGCATTTGTTTTGATTACTTTATAATTGTTTTTAACAGTTTAATATTTAGAATTTAATATATTTTCACACCATGTGAACTGATGATTTGGAAAAGGCTTTGGGAACATTGTTTACTACTTTTGGGAAAGTGTCAACTTTAGAAGCAGTAAAGGTTGAACATTTTTTTCAAGAAGCCAGAATGTTTTGGGAATTATGTCTGTAGCTTCCTGATTTCTGAGAGATGAGTCGTGCACTTGCTCGTGTAGACAGTATAGAAGGTCAGGGTGTCTGTGAAGGCCCTAAATGAGAAGGACTGTAGCCATGGCAACTGTGGGAGGGTCTTCCTGGTCACTCCTGTCTGGAATGAATTGACACCCTGTGGATGCACCTGGAGCTATTGTCACCTGGGCCCAGTTCTGCATCTCCTAGCTGGGGGAGCCTTTGGCCTTTTTATTAACTAGTAGCATCTTGCCCAGATGGTGGAGAGAGTATATATTCAAAGCATTTTATTTTAGTAGCCCTAGTAAAAGGGTTGAGAAAGAATAAGATTAAACTGTTGTTAATGTTTGTATCTGTTGTCTGTTTCAGCACTGAAAGGGTAAGAATGTTTTTCCTGAGTATAGCCCTTTTAAACAGAGTAATGGAGAGGTGAGGGTTGTTCTTGTTTGTTTTAATTTAGAAGTGAGAAGAGTAAAGTAGGATTAGGATCACTGTTTTTAAAACCAGTGGGGTCCTAACTAGTAGATTCAGATCTACCTATAAATTCTAAAACCTTAACTACTAGCCGGGCATGGTGGCTCACCCCTCTAATCTCAGCACTTTGGGAGGCTGAGGCGGGCGGATCACAAGGTCAGGAGTTCGAGACCAGCCTGGCCAATATGGTGAAACCCTGTCTCTACTAAAAAAATATGAAAAAAATTAGCTGGGCGTGGTGGCGTGTGCCTGTAGTCCCAGCTACTCGGGAGACTGAGGCAGGAGAATTGCTTGACAACCAGGAGGTGGAGGTTGCAGTGAGCGGAGATTGAGCCACTGCATTCCAGCCTGGGAAAAAGAGTGAGACTCTGTCTCAAAAAAAAAAAAGAAATTATTGATAATAACAACAAAGTGAGCACAGCCTAAATATCCTTCATTGGGAACTGGTTAAATAAATTGTGTAGCATCTCTGATCCTCTGTAACGGGTACGTAATGAGGCTCACCATGAGATCTGCAGTGAAATGAGCCCCAGACACGTGGCGGAGTAGAAAGACCCAGATGCAGAGTAGCATGGATAATGTGATTCCTGTTCCTTTTTGTTTTTTTCAGGAATAATAACTCATATTTATGCTTGTGTGTGCTTAAAAAATTCCTGAAAAGACACATAAGAAACCGTTAACAGCGGATACACCCCAAGAAACATCTGGGATAGAAGAGAAACTTCCTTTCTATTGCAAACCCTTTTCTTAGGGTGGATATGTATTTTTAAACATGTACATGTATACTTTGCCACTAAAAACAATTAGTTTAAATAACAACCACTAAGCTGGTAGCTGACTGAGCCAGGTGTCATGATCATGCCTGCGTGGGGGTTTCTTGTCCCATTCAGGAACCTCACTGCCAGCATACCATCTGGGCACTGGGCCCTGGAGAGGGCCCAGCTCAAACACATGAAGGTAGGGATCTCTGGAGTACAGTGGAAGTGGATGGATTTGCTGACCAGTCTTTAAAAATGTTAAGGCTTGGGGGCTTGGAGAACAGGCATTCTGTGTTAAAACTGATGTTGCTCCTGGCTGAACAGTTTGAAGATATGGAGCTTATGACCTCAAAAGAAGTGTATAGGGTGCGGGGGAGGGTAACAAATTATGGAACCACTTAGGCTGAAGAAGCATTTGAATAATGTTCCAAGGAGGGGCACATAAGTGGTCATAATTACTTCGGGTCTGCTGTCTGAACCAATTTCCAGTCTTTTCTACTTCCTTTTTCAGGCAGCAAGTTCCAGAAACTGGCTACTCACTGCATGAACTTGGCAGGCCCTCCTGATTTTCTTATGCTTCACCTCTGAGGGCTTAAAAGAGAGTCTTCAGGCTATGTGATCAGAGGCCCTGCGCAGAGAGCACTGTCTCCCCCACACGCACCCCAGTGCTGTCAGAAATGCAGGCTGCTGCCTCAGCGTGGGCGGCCCTGGCCTCCTCATTTCCTTGTGCGTTTCACTTGCCCCTTTTGCTCTTTTGTCCAGCACCATTATCTTTTTCATGAAGTGTGGCTTCCAGAATTGTCTGTGACGTACATTTTATTTACCTTGTTGATTCATTCCACTTGTTTCTTGTCGGCTCACTCAGCTGGGTGTGATTGTGCATTCAGGACTCTGCAGTGTCAGGTACTGGCCTAGGAGCTGGGGGTGTGGTTGGGGACAGTGTCCAGAGGCTTCTTTGAAGCTGAAGCATGCCTTTGCATTGGCATCTCCTAGACATAGTAAATACCCAGCTCCAGAGTGGATTAGATGGTAACAACCGCTTTATAGGTGAGGCATGTGCAAATGTCCCTGAATGCGTATCACTGGCGCCTCCCAGAGTAAAGGCATCTGACGCCCCCACTCGCTTAGAGGCTTCTTGCAGTCCATGTTTGATTGTCATTCTCCTCCTCCAGCCTAAGTACCCTGGAGATGTCACTTTTCCTTCTCAGAAAACACTAAGTAAGCTGTTCCTGAGGAGGCAGCTGAGCCCACCCTTGGTTCTTTTACCCAGGGAAGTGTCTGGCCCTCTCCTTTGCTCTCTGTCTTCAATCTACTTCTCATCTTTTGACAAAGAAATCCCCCACATTTGGGAGTTTTTAAATTTGAGATAAGAATTATTTTTAAAATCACAAGATATAAATGTTAAGCCCCCAAACCACACTTCCTGAGGACGGGTGATTGGTGCCCATCTGGGAGAGGCTGGGCTGGGCCCCATTGTCCGTGTTGGTAAAGTAGGGAGTGGCACCCCTCTGAAGGGTTGTTATTGGGACCAGCGTGGGCCAGGCCAGTAGCAGTGCTCATCAGTACAGTGCTCAGAGAAGGCAAGGAGGGACAGATTGCTCCCTTTTTTCTTCTCCCAAGAGAGTATATGTTACTTGAGAAAAAAGGAAAATCCACGCTGACAACAGTATCAGTGTGATGTGATTCTCAAGTATTTTATCTCTATATTTTTTGTACCATTTTCTTTGTTTATTTTTATTTATTTATTTTTTTGAGACAGTCTTGCTCTCTTACCCAGGCTAGAGTGCAGCGGTGTGATCTCAGCTTACTGCAACCTCTACCTGCTGGGTTCAAGCAATTCTCCTGCCTCAGCTTCCCAAGTAGCTGGGACTACAGGTGTGGGCCACCATGCCTGGCTAGTTATTTTTTGTATTTTTTAGTAGAGAGGGGGTTTTGCTATGTTGCCCAGGCTGGTCTTGAACTCCTGAGCTCAAGTGATCTGCCCACCATTGCCTCCCAAATTGCTAGGATTACAGGTGTGAGCCACCGCACCCATCCTATACCATTTTAAAAGTATTTATTTTGACAATTTACTAATTTCATAATCAGAAAAAGTAAGCATTATTTTAAAATTAACACAGGTTTAGAAAAATGTAGTGCTGACATTGCCTTTTTCTTTTATCCACTTGCTTGTTCCTTTTTCCAGCAACTGAGATTTCCGAAGCCTAATTGTCTCATTAGCAAAGTGCTCTGACTTTATCATACATGCTCCCAGAGTTTTACCTGGAATGTGAGTTGCCAGTCTGTTGATTTTCAGTGTCCCTTCTGGACTTTTTAAATGTTCATTGCCATAGTACAGAATTATCAGTATTGTTCTCAATACCAATGTGTTATGGCTAAGCTTAGTTGATTGTTTTAGGGATCAACTAAGGGGGTGTATCTGACTTTTCCAGTCTCCACAGAGCCTTTCCTAGTTCTGTAATCTTAGGCTACACTAAATCAGCCTTTAGGGAAAGGCAGGGTTTTTAACAGTAGAAGGGCCGTAGATTTGGAACAGCTAGATTTTATAAGAGAGAGTGTGTGTATGTTCTTCCATAGATCGAGAACTTGTCCATACTGGCTGGTACTCTTTAAAGGGATAAATGTCAATATCTAAAGTGGAGCAAGTGCAAAAGATCCCTTTAGTGAGACTGGCAGGAGAGCAATTGGGCTGTGCTGTTTTGAACATCTGTTGAAGCGTCTTTGCATTTCTCTCCGGAAGGATGACTCTGGGTTAGGCTAGCAGATCCTAGTAGTTCTTGGAGATAGGAACTACATATCAAAGAGACAAGAATTCTTAATTCTCTTAAGTACAATTTTTATTTTAAAAGTATGAAAGGATTTTTTACTTTAGAAGCACAAATTTATTTATTTTTTATTTTTTTGAGATGGAATTTCGCTCTTGTTGCCCAGGCTGGAGTGCAATGGTGCAATCTTGGCTCACCACAACCTCTGCCTCCCACGTTCAAGCAATTCTGCCTTGGCCTCCCAAGTAGCTGGGATTACAGGTGCCCGCCACCACACCTGGCTAATTTTTTGTATTTTTCATAGGGACGGGGTTTCTCCATGTTGGTCAAGCTGGTCTCGAACTCCCAACCTCAGGTGATATGCCCCTCCCCGCTCGGCCTCCCACAGTGCTGGGATTACAAGCATGAGCCACCTCGCCTGGCCACAAAGTTATTTTTAAAGAAGCTTTAGTAACCAACATCATATATTTGGAGGGGCACCATGTTGAAATTCACCAAGAACAAGTAGAGAGCATTAGAAATCTGGCTGTTTTTAAAGATCTGAATGGAATAGGATGGCAACTTGAAAATTGATATGTACGTTGGATCTTCAACAAATAAGACATGTTTTTAAATGGGAAGTGATGTTTCTGAAGTTAAAAGGGTACTTATTTTGCACTTAAAATTTTTTATATCCATATTTGTTCCTATTTCAAATAGTTGACACTTATCTTCGACAGTTGTTTTCCCTTCCCAAAACATATTGTCGTCTTTTTTAATAGTACATAGTGTGATACACATTACAGATCCATACTGATGAAAGAAATGAAACATTTCTCCTCAGTGGGGTGGTGTTTCTTTATCGTGATGTTATACACATACATAACTATAGCTATAGACTGTATCATAAAGGACACAAATTATTCACTATTTGAAGATTTCATTCCCAAAGAATCAACTGTTCTCTCTTACTGGCAAAACCCTGATACAGTATGTGGGAGTGCTAGTACCAGCTGAGCCGGCTGGCATCCGTGCCCTTCGTGTAGGGATCTCTTAATTAGAAAGCTTCCTTAGGACCCTTAAAGAGTGTGTTCTCCCCACTTTTGATTTACATCTAATTTGGGGGGAACACATGGCACAAAATCAAGTACTGCTTCAAAGAATTGTATTCACAACCAACTTTTCATATGTGTTTATAATTTGTTGTTTCAGATAAAATGATACTAATCCCAATGCAGGTCAATTTAGATAGATACCATCTCTCTATCTTCTTTAGTTTAATGTTTATTTGTAAACAATAAAAACGGTACAAAATAAGATCGTGAGTTTAAAAACTATAAAAATCACTATAAATAATTACTGTATTGAAAAGTGGGATGATAACAAAATATAGTGGATTCTATAATAAACTGGCTTGGGGGAATTCTAGGACCCACGAAGAGGTATTTCAGCAATTTTAGATTTTACTTTGTATAAATAGCTGGAGTTCAAGTTCTGTTTCAGTCCAGCAATGATTCTGTAGACAGCACCTGATGTGTGGTTGGCAGGGCGCTGGGAACTGGGCCTCTGCGTTTTAGCCAGTGTGTCTTCCACAGAGTTGTGTACCTGTTGGTGACTTGGGAGCAGGATTGTTGGAGAATAAGCAAGTCTGCCTCTGATCACTGCATGTAGGCCTCCTCTTTGTCCACAGATGGTCAGCAAGAGAGGAAGATCTTTACTCACTGGGAGCCTATCCTATAGTCCCCTGGTACAGTTGGTGGGCAATGAATCAAACTACTGTATGTTGTTTTAATTGGATGGCTTGTCTTGATTCATTTTCTTAGCAAATGGCAGTGATAGTTCATGGGCCTGCGGAGTGACTGGCACCTTTTAAGGTGGAAGGGGTTTCTGGAGTCAGCTGACCCAGGTTTCAGTCTGTCACATAAGATCTCTGTGACCTTGGGCAAGTGACTTATCTGGGTTTCAATTTCCACATTTATAGGTTAAAATAATAGTTTCTAGCTCACCTAGTTTTTGTGAGGATTAAAATAATGTAAAGAATATAAAATTCCTATTAGTGGACTCTTAAAACCAAACAAAAGGTGGTGGTGGTTGAGAATGACCATTTCACAGCCTGGGAGGCCCGGACAGTGTGGGTTTGGATGACGCACCATTTGTTTAAGAACTGAAATGACACTGGGCCTGCAGCATCCGTGCCACGTTTGAGTACCGTGGGCTTAATCACGGCTCCTGGATGCGCTGCAAGCAGTTAATGGGGCTTGGTCCCTCCAGCGTGGTCACTGCACAAGATGCACTCCCTGAGCGAACATGTGCCCAGAGCACACAGACAGCCTGAAGCAATGGTGGCAGAACCGCCCCAGGGTGTGTGTGCCAGAGAGGTTGATGGTGAAGATGCTAATTTGCTTTTAAGAGTTTTACTGTGAATGCTTTAGGATTTAGGGCCTATTACTTGAAGGGTTCTTTTAATCTTTTAAGTTTTTCTTTATGTGATATTTTCTCCTTTTCATCTGTAGATTTTAAAATTTTGTCTTGTCCCTTTATTGTTAGAAAAGCAAATAAGTATTTACTGAATGACTGAAAAAATAAATTTAGATAAATGCAAGGAAGAGGGAAGAAGAATAAAAAATTTTCACCCAACTCTACAGCGTGATTTAGACGATTTCCAAACTATTATCTATAAAGGACTTTTATAGACTATTTTCCATTACATTTTGATCATCATTTGGATCTTTGGAAACTGGCATTTAAAAATTCTGAGCTCTGGAGCTTTTCAACCCATTCACTGCCTGCAGGCAAGAAAACAGCTTAACTATGCCAAATCCATGCTTGCCCTTCCATTCTTGTTTTTGTGTGGTTTTTTTTTTTTTTTTGCTTTTATTCTGTTCTTATTTTTCTTTGTATATATTCTATAGATTTTTCTCTTCATGACTGTCATGAGGCTTACATACATAACATTATAAATGAATGGAACTTCATTAATATAATACTCCTAGGTCACACCAATCTATCTGGGTTTTGTTTCCCCTCCCTTTTTTTTTTTTNTCTCAGCTCACTGCAATCTCCGCCTCCTTGGTTCAAGCAATTCTCCTGCCTCAGCCTCCCGAGTAGCTGGGATTACAGGTGTGAGTCACCACATCCAGCTAATTTTTGTGTTTTTAGTAGAGACGGGGTTTCACCATGTTGGCCAGGCTGGTCTCAAACTCTTGACCTCAGGTGATCTGCCCACCTCATTCTCCCAAAGTGCTGGGATTACAGGCGTGAGCCACCGTGCCAGGCTGATTTCCCTCCCATTCTTAGAAGCTTTCTACAGCAGTGTCTTATATAGTTAAACAAGAACCATCAGTATCATTTCAAAATAAGGGGAAATATTGCCTGTCGATATTTAACTGAAGAAATGACAGTATAAGATTGCATTGAGATTTTAAGGATTGCTTTTGCCAAACGGTAGATAATTTGCTAGCCATAAAGGCAGTTGTTTCACACATTTTTAACACCTGGTTAACGATCGTGTGACTGAGATACCTGGATCAGCACTATTTCCAAAATAAGCTAAGTGTATTTAAGTAAAGCTTCCTACTATTGAGCATTTTGTAATCGTTTCATTTACCTCCTAGTTTTCTTTTTTCACTTGTAACTGATCAGATTAATCATTGAGGTTCATGATATTCTATCACAGTACTAGTTCTAAGAGGTCTTCATTTTAAGGACCTTTTGTTGACTTTTTCATTACATTTCTATAGCCAGATCAAGTCAAATTCATGTTCTCAAGTATGTCCAAGGAAATTAAGAGCTGGTGCATGAAAAGATAGGAAAACAATTCCAAATCGTAGCAGTTACCAAAAGCAAGTTTATAATACAGGCAAGTGCATTCGCTCCTTTCTGTATCTTCAGGGAGCAACATTTACGAGGGTTTAAGAGTATTTGTATCTAAATTGGATTGGAATAATTTTTTTTACTGTCCCTTTACTTTCTTGTAGCTTGCTGATGACCGTATGGCACTGGTGTCAGGCATCAGCCTAGATCCAGAAGCAGCAATTGGAGTGACAAAACGGTCACCTCCTAAGTGGGTGGATGGAGTGGATGAAGTAAGTTGCATGATAGTTTCATACCATCTTTTTTTTTTTTTTAAGTAATTATGACAACGTATTTTAAGATGTCTGTCATATAAATGAATTTGGCTACACTTGAATGTATATCCCTAGAAGTACTTTAGCTTCAGGTTAAGTTGTCTATGTGTCTGTTAATAATTTTTGCTTTAGTTTTAACATTGGTAGTAACTACCTGAATTATAGGAAGAAATTGAAAACCCATGCAACAAGGAAGAGTGCTATGTGATTTTCTGGTAATTTGAATTAAAAGCTGCTCACATATCAGCAAGCCAACAAGTTTGCTGAAGACTGAACTCTATGTGCGGAGTGTAGCTGGTTGTCTCAGAGGCAGACCGATAGCCTGCCTGGCATCAGTGGAGTTCTGTGATGTCATTTGCCTAGATTCAGTATGATATTGGCCGGATTAAGCAGAAGATGAAAGAATTATCCAGCCTTCATGACAAGCATCTAAACAGACCCACCCTGGATGACAGCAGTGAAGAGGAACATGCCATCGAGATAACTACCCAGGAGATCACTCAGGTGAGGGTGTGTAAGTGAGTCCTGGGGAAACCAGCCAGCCGCCTCATGGCAATCTCAAAAACTAGGGTGCTACTCAAAATCAGTCTCCTGGAGTCCACTTCCCAACCATAATTTCTCAGAGGGACCTCAGGAGGCCCTGACGTCCTCCAGCTGTCAGCAGAGGTACCTGTGAGGCCTGGGAGGTGTGGAGGCTGGTTTTCAATTGTTGGCAGATACTACTGTGGACTGATTAAGTAAAGATGAAATTTCAAACATGATTGAGTTCAATCATTTGATTTTAAAATATATATTATTGTATACTAGTGTTAAGAAATTTTAATGCTAAAATATAGTCCTTATAATTGAAAAGTAACCTAGAAGATTTTTTAAATAAAATATTAAATTTGACTAATTTAAAAATAATAGGACTCCTGTTTAAACTCCAGTGTTTACATTTTTTATTTAAGTCTCCTGGGTGCTAATTATCAGAGGAGTATGGTGCTTTGGGAAAAACCCTGGAGTGTTGGAATGTTTGAACCTTAGCTCTTAGCAGTTTAACAGTTGCATGATTCTCATTTAAGCCTTCTGACTCTAGTGTTCTCTTCTGTAAAATGGGACTAATATAGTACCATCCTCATAAGATGCTTGCTAGGGATTAAATGAGAAGAATGCAATAATATGATATATGATAGTACCGGCTGAAGATTTCTAATCTGAAAATCTGAAATCCAAAATACTCCAAAATTTGAAAGAGTGCCAATATGACACTCAAAGGAAATGCTCATTGGAGCATTTTGGATTTCGAATTTTCAGATTGGTGTGCTCAGCTAGTAGGTATTCTGCAAATATTCCAAAATCTCCGAAAATTTGAAATCCCGAACATTGCTGATCCCAAGCATTTCGGATGAGGGGTACTCAGCCTATCTAATGTAATGATATGTGCGCAGCTGGGCACACAGCAGGAGTTGAGTGTGTATAAATTAAGCCTCACATTCCATTTATCTGTTCACCCTTCTGTAAACCAACCTGAGTGAACAGAGTCGCTCACTTCTCACTCTGGCTTGTGATGATGGCAGTGTTAGCAGAGGGGCTTCTCTCACAGGCTTGCCCTGAGCCTCGGGCTTGTTCTCTTAGCTCTTCCACAGGTGCCAGCGTGCCGTGCAGGCCCTGCCGAGCCGGGCCCGGGCCTGCTCCGAGCAGGAGGGGCGGCTGCTTGGGAACGTGGTGGCCTCGCTGGCGCAGGCCCTGCAGGAACTCTCCACCAGCTTCCGGCACGCACAGTCGGGCTACCTCAAACGTGAGTGCTGCCCAGGCCTAGTGAAGGGATTTTGAGTAAGAAAAGCACTTTCTGTTTTCTTTTTTGCGACTATTTTTCCACGTAGTCCAATACCTTTCATTGTTAGCTTTTGAGCACGTTCATACCTTACACAATAGAGGGAAGCCTCCTCTCCACGTGAAACCCTGGCTTGGAATGAAGGCACAGCGTGGAGTACCGACGCAGGCTGGGGGAGGGCACCCAGATAGTTCAGGATCGCAGCAAACAAAATTTGTTTTGTTGAAGCTGCAAGAATTTGAAAATCAATCAAGCACATTTGAAAAACCTGTTGTTTTCTAGATGTTCGGGTTTGGGAGAGCTGCTACTAAATAGGCAAAGGCAGTTGTTATTAGGGAAAGCCGCATATTTGCATAACAACCAAAGTGTCTGAGAGCACCGGAGAATCCCTCCCCGGGGTCCTCGAAACACTTCCTCTGCTCGCACCACCGGTTTCATTCGACAAATAGCCCCAAGCCCGACTTCAGCTATCTTTTCATTCGAATCGCCCTGTAAGCTGGGTTTTAAAAATGGCCATCGTAATCAATAAAGTCCCTACAGTCTCCAAAAAAAAAAAACTTCAGTTCTCCCTCCCTCTTTCTCCCTCCGACAACTGGCAGATTTGTATTTTAATTTTATTACTTCCAAAATTTGATTAGGGCCATTTGGAATTCTTACTAGAGATGCTTCTAGAGAGAAATATTGATTTTTTTAAATGCTTTGTAACAGCAGTTAGATTAAATATTTCTGTTTCACTTAGAGATTCTCAGATGGTTGTGTCATTTTTGTCTTGGCATCAAGTGAATTGTGCACATTTATACTGTGACTTTGTCTTGAATAATCCCAAATGCCTGCATATTATTGTGTGTTTGTAATCCTTTACTCTCCCTCTACCCCCATTGGAGATAGGCTTCTTTAAAGTGGCTAAGAATATCTCCATTTTGACTGTTGAAGTTTACTCTAGAATTCCCTTTTTTAATGGTAGAGCAATAACCAGGGTGGTTTACATATTCAAGTAAAATGAATTCCTATCTGTGGTAGGCATGAAGAATCGAGAGGAAAGATCCCAGCATTTTTTTGACACGTCAGTACCACTAATGGATGATGGAGACGATAATTCTCTTTACCATCGGGTACGTGAAGGCGCTGCAAAGCTGACTGCTGTGTCTGTGCACCCCATTCTGCTGCTGCTTTCTCCTCCTAGACCTCGAACTTACCTGCAGTGTCAGTGGATTGGTACAGCTGACTTGTATATTCATCAAGTTGTTTTTGCAGCAGGTGGAAGAACAGCCGTACTGTTTGTTCCTTTCCAAAGGCCACAGGGAGGGAGACCTTGTAATCTGCTTTCCAGAACATTTGGGAAAGTGGTCAACACCCTGCCTTCTTAGGAAGAACGCAGAGCAGCAGAGGGCTATTTTGGGGGTTTTGTTCCTGTGCCCTTGCAGAGCTGCAGACGTGGGCTTCTGTTTTCCCTGCTGTGGCCTCAGAGCTTTAGATCCTGCTGATTTAGGGAGTTTGGGTCTTTCCTGTTAGGAAAAAATAAGTGTTTACTTATTATTTATGTGCTTTACAGAAATATTTTCAGAATTCATTTTCTTTAAATTATTTTCATTTTCTTTAACTTATATTTATATCTAGACTAGTACACCATAGCTTTCCTGAGAGGGGAAAAAAATCTAACCAACAAATTGTACACTGTTTTGCTAGGGTTTTACCGATGACCAGTTAGTGTTGGTGGAGCAGAACACACTGATGGTGGAAGAGAGGGAGCGAGAGATCCGCCAGATTGTACAGTCCATTTCTGACCTGAATGAAATATTTAGGGACTTAGGAGCGATGATTGTAGAACAGGTACGTGAGCTGGCCTTCCTTGTGAATAGACTTTCCTGCCATACTATCTGCTCCTTCTTTTTCCTGTACTCCTTTCAGGGAAAAAATTGGAGCCATTTCCCCCAACGTGTGTCTGTGTGTGTGTGTGTGTGTGTGTCTGTCCTTTTGTGTTTGCAAATATATATACACATATACATATGTTTACAAATATATACTTAGCATCCCTAATCAGAAAATACGAAATTCAAAATGCTCCAGAATCTGAAACTTTTTGAGTGCTGACATGATGCCACAAGTGGAAAATACCTACACAAAACCTCATGTGACAGGTTGCAGTTAAAGCTTTGTTTTACGCACAAAACTATTGAAAATGTTGTAGCTGGGCGTGGTGGCACATGCCTGTAATTCCACCGCTTTGGGAGGCTGAGGTGGGCAGATCACTTGAGGTCAGCAGTTCGAGACCAGCTTGGCCAACATGGTGAAACTTTGTCTCTACTAAAAATACAAAAAGTAGTGGGGTGTGGTGGCGCCTGCCCACAATCCCAGCTAATTGGCAGGCTGAGGCAGGAGAAGCACTTGAACCTGGGAGGCGGAGGTTGCAGTGAGCCGAAATTGCACCATTGCACTCCAGCCTGGGCAACAAGAGTGAAACCCTGTCTCAAAAAAAAAAAAAAAAAAACCATATATATATATAAAATAAAATTACTTTCAAGCCATGTATATAAGGTATATGGAAACATAAATGAATTTCGTGTTTAGACTTGGGTCCCATCCAGAATAAGCATGTCAGATAAGGGATACTCAATAATTTGTATTTACAAATTATATACATAGGCTACTGGCATTCCCTATAAGAATATTAATAAATCTTTTTTAGAAGTTCTAATTTTCTCTTCCTATCCCTCCAGGGTACTTAATGTGAGCACCCTACTTTAAAGACCTAGTTGACTCTGACCAAGCTCAGCAATGATTCTGCCAATATATAAGATTTCCCTTCTAATTTTGGCAGGTTATTGTGTAATGGCAGTTGGAACCACTAGCTTTCAAGTAGAATTAAATTGTTGTTCACTGTTAAAATCTGATTAGGGCATTTTATTATCTTGCCAGCAGGGATTTGGGTCCTGATCCCCCTGAAACCAACTGCAGAATGGAGTGTTCAGGCTCTGAAAGATCCAGTTACATTAATTACTCCAGCAGTTCTCAGTGAACTGCTATCTCTTCTAATCCAGCATGTTTCCAATAAAAGCGCTGTTCTTCCCTATAGCCCAGTGTCCCCTTCTTCTGATTTGTATTAAGAGATTAAATAATTAAACATCTTTTCTTTGAGGCCAGATTTTTAATTTTAGATGGCACATTGTCTGCTCTGACCCATAGAGATGTGTATTCACGTTTATAGACATGATAGTCAGTTTGTGGTCTGCTCCTAACAGGGTTGTGCTGCTGTTCTCTGCTTATGTGAGTCCAAGTGTGTAGGCACAAAATGGGTACAGAGCCTCTCTGCTGTTCAGAGCCTCTTTCCACTGAACTATATATTGTTTAAGGCCCAAGTAAGTCTGAATATGGCCTATTGTATGGTAGCGAAAACCAAAAAGGAAACCTCAGTCTGTCAGTACTTCTTTCTCGTGAACTAGACGTGATGGCACTAACCAGCACTCTGCCATCGAGCTCCTGACCCTGCTTGAGGGGGACTCAGAGCCCTCCGTGTGTACCTGCAGCACACAGGGAAGGAAAGCATCATCTTCTGGATGATGATGTCTATAATTTGTATATCTCATTTTTGATGTCCAGTTTTCCCAGTTGCCATTGTTGATCATCTATAACTGTCATTTATACCTAGGGTACAGTCCTTGATAGAATTGACTATAATGTTGAACAGTCCTGTATCAAAACGGAAGATGGCTTGAAGCAGCTTCACAAGGTAATGACACGTCTTTCAAGAATTGGGAATTTTAGGATCTATTTTCAAATAATCAAGAATTGGTAAGAGATTTCTCTTCCACCATAACTATCTTCAGCATTTTTGTTTGTGTTGTCCACTTTCAGTATGGTAGTGTAAAAAGGGATTCATTTCATTTAATGCCAATTGTGGGGGCTGTTACCATTTTATTGCAGTTAATGATTCCAGGTGTATCCCACACCTAGATCCAGAATTGCTAAGAATTCCTTTTTATGACAGTAAATTCCAAAGGGATTGGAGTTTTCTTCCTTTTAGAAAATATTTCATCCTTTTCTGAGACTTCTTATTTTAGAAAATCAGTTGAATGGGCATTTGCTAAAATATGTGTTGAAAATCTGCTTGCTGCCACTGACTCAGGCCTCTCGTCACACATTTCTGATGAATTGCTGGTGTAAAATCATTATGGAGAAGATAAAAATCTAATTTTCTCTTTAATTACCACAGCATGTCTGTGGATTACCTTGAGAGAAGAGAAGTTTGTTGAAGCGAGCGTAGTTCTTCTGTTCTGTGCTAATAAGGTAGTTATTTCAGGGGTGTTTTTTATGATGTTTGTTCTTTTAAAAAAAATAGATGGAAAGCATCTTAGGAATCTTATAATCAGTTATGAGAAACATGGCATAAACTTCTGAGTGGATCTCATGTATAATTGGTTACATATTTTCTTTAAAAGGAATATAACAATACTTTACAGGTAGTGTCCATTTTCTTGTATCTTTGAGGCCCAGTGGAATTTCTAGCCATATAATGAGTGTTTTGCGAATTCACTATTGGACTACTCTACCGTTTTTCTAAAATCAGTTGCTTCCTATACCAGAGATCACCCCATCTAACAGCAGCATTGGGTTTACAGAAAGTCAGCCCTTACCCTTGTCTAACCCAAAACCCTGAGCTGTCTTTTCAGGGTGCTTGTTGCCACGTGCTGGGTGGATATGAGATTCTAGCCTGTGGTGGGGAAAAGACGTCTGACCTCCTCTAAGCAGGGGCTCCTTAAGCATTTAGATTAATTTGGTTGCCAAGCCGTATCTATTAAAAGTGAAAACTAGTTTCTCATTCTGTAACACCCAGGTTTTGATGTGCTGCTGAATTATGCAGGTTTTGAAGTTTCTTAAATAAAAATTAGTGAAACATGTTTTGTAATATAACAGATAAAAGAAAAAGCCTTCTCTGCGGGAGTGAGCAAATCTACTGGGAACTAAAAATTTTGTTTTAGGTTCTACTTTATAAATCATTTTGAGAGGTTTTACAGTATATTATTTAGTACTGGCTTCCCTGGTGTTCTGGGTTACTTATTAGAAAAGTCAGCGTGCTCCGTCTTCCCTCCAGCCTCAAGGCTGTAGGCAGCACCGCGGCTGGCCGGTGCTCAGCAGTCGGTTGGTCTAAGGGTGACTGAGCTTTGGGAGCTGCTCCCCATGACCCGACTCTCCAGTGGCGTTCCTCCTGGTGGATGAGGGGCTCCTCCAGGTGGGCGGGCAGGCTTGCTTCAGAAACAAGCCCACCGAGGGGGATGGAGGAAAAGAAATTGCCATTCTCGCCAGGGCTGCCTTCCCGCTGCCCTTCCTCCTGTGCCATAGCAAGGTCTGGAAGAGGGCAGCGCATACTCTCCCTGGACGTGCTTCCTGGCTCCCTCTGAACTCCTCTGCCCTCTGGCTGTCCCTTCTCAGTGCTGTGTGTCTTTCACTAGCCAGGCGGGGCCCTTTGGCATTTCTGTACCAGGCATGGTGGAGTTCCCGCGCTCCCGCTGAGCTTCCAGGATGCGGTGTTCAGGTGAAGAGATAAGCAGTGTGCGGCCTTGTCCCCAGGTTGAGCTTGGGAGTGCCTTTGCTGTATCGTGTCTGTTTTTATTTCAAAGGATGAGTTCTTGTTTCCAAATTTAGGGGAGGCCGAAATGGGGCCTCTCTGGAGGCATCTTTGCCTACCTACCGCTTATGCTCTTCCAGCCCGTTGTTTCCTTCTGCGGTGAAGGAGCCGTGCATTCGCTCAAGGAGCCGGGATGAGGAGTGGACGGCCCGTGAGAGGAGAAGCAGGGAGAAGCAGGGAGAAGCGAGGAGAAGCAGGGAGAAGCAGGCCCAGCGGCATCCGGAAGCATGAGCTTAGACTTCCCTGTCAGCCTTTGTCTTAGTAGTAGGTTTCCAACAAGTCCATTTCCACGCCCAGGGCAAATAAGCAGCTCCAGGATCATGGGGCTCTTCCACTCCTGGTGACAGAATTCCCTGGGATTGATGGAAGGATTATGATCACGTAGCCTGTAGCAGAGACCTCAGTCACTGTGCAGACAGATCCAGAAGCCTCAGTCTGGAAATGCGTGGGACCTGATTTGGGATTTTGGGGAAAATGACTGCCTTTTTTCCCCTCCTCTTTTTGTAGGCAGAACAGTATCAAAAGAAGAATCGGAAGATGCTTGTGATTTTAATATTATTTGTCATCATCATTGTGCTCATTGTTGTCCTCGTTGGCGTGAAGTCTCGATAAGTGGCATTGGGTTCTCGTGTGTGTCGCACGCATGCATCTCCCGGTGTGAGGGGCTTGGCCTGCGCGGGCCAGCTGCTGTCAGAGGTGCAGCCCCGAGGAATCCGAGGGCGTTGGGGCAGAGAACCTTTCCATCCACGGACTCCTCCTCCACTAGTCCTGCTCAAGCGGTCCGCGGAATGGGCTTTTGTTTTTCCTTCATTGTTGAGAATTTAAGGACCTTTGATACTGCTGCACAATAGAGATTGAGTTCTGTGATCAGTTATAATATATATTTTTCTTAGAGAAAGCGAGCTGGACGTTTGCAGGGACTGCAGAAGCTGTTCGGTGTTACACGTGTATGTGCTACAGGGACTGCAGAAGCTGTTCGGTGTTACACGTGTATATGCTATTTTTCTAGCAGCCATGTCTGAGCAGAATGTTAAAATAATTTTTGGAAAAATTTTCTTTAAACCATCTGGGTTTTAAGAAATTTGGTACCAAAAATTGATGAGTAGAGGCAAAAATGCCTCTTCATCTTCTCTATATATTTTCCAGTTGAAAACAACTAAGAAGTCCTTTAAGAATTTATAATCCGTTCCCCATTAACTTAATTTAGCTTTTCCATCACTGTTAATGATCAGAGTAACAAAGTGTGAAAAATAAGAAACCATCATTGATGTTAATTAACACATTTAGATGGGCCAGTTAAAACAGCTTCATAAGTTTAAATTAATTGTAAACGGAATATTCCTTATTTAAAATTTTTGCACTGTGTTTTCTACTGTAAACCAAAAGGGGTTACTAAGCAAAACCACCTAAAATTAAGTTGGCAATTTGAATGAATCTCGCATTAAAAGAAAGCTTGACAGTGTTATGAAAGCCACCAGTCTCAGCCAGTGTGTCCCCGTGGGTATCCCCAGCCTCCTTGTTCAATCCATTACTTATATACTAACTACATAATGACCTGTTCAAACCAGACTCTATTTAATGAACTGTGAATTTACACAGAGGCCATTTTAAATGGGTCACCCCATTTAAGATTAGTGGATCTCAAATTATTAACCAAACATCACTCCATTTCAAAGTAAAATATTCCACCAGTGATTTGATTTATTGGCTCTTCCATTGCCACTGAGCAATGCCTAGGAAGCAGGCACAATGCCAAGGACTGTGGGCATCTTGACTAGGACGCTCCTCGTTTGTGTGAGTGTGGGTCAGATCACCAAAGTAAGACTTCATCTTTTTCCTACCTGTTATCAATATGGTGCTCAAATACATTCCTACAACTGTAGAATAGTGTGGAAAGGGATGGGAAGTTTGAAGTTGTTCATGTTTTATTGGCCTTGTTTTAATTGACACCAGTAGAGTTTTAATGGTCTTTGTATAATTTTTAATGGCTTTTTCCATTGTTTTTGCTTCTCTTACAAAGTTTAAGAAGTGTATGACCTCATTCAATGTACTGCATTTTATTTGGACCAGTCACATAAAATGTCTCTCTAGAGTTGACTTTGAAGTTGTTTCCAGAAATTTAAACTCAAGTCCAGAGATTGAAGCTGTCCAAACAGCTCGTGGGCTTAACATGCAAACCCCTGCCCCAGCCTTCCCGTTCCAAGTTGGTGCCACCTCCAGCAGCCACTGGTTTCCTTATTACTGATGTAGCTGTGGAATGGAAAGGACCTGTCCCTGGCATTTCAGGAAGCAACCCTGGTCTTCCCTGACAAGTATTGTTTAGGAAAGAGGGCTGGAAAATAAGAAGCCAGCACCTCATCAGTCACCCCTGAAATGGTGAGGCTTCCATAGCTCTTGAGAGTCATTGGAGGCGTTCTTTCATCTCAGCTGATTTTAACCCATGGTTGGGACGTTCCAAGTTAGACCTGTTCCTCTTAGGAGTGGGGCTGTCCAAATTAGGGAACTGGCCTCAAAAACGGTCTGCAGTGGCAATACCGGATTCCTGTTCAAGCTTTTTTAAAGTGCTGAGTCTTAGAAACCCTTGAAGGAAACTGACCCTGTAGGAGAAGATCGTCATTTGTTTATATTTATTTTCACCCAATAGGGTGATAAAGGTTGGTTTTTGTCCCCTGCATTTATTGGGGTAAAATAACAGACCTGATTAGAGATTGTTTTAAGGATGTCCTCCAGGTTGGGGAACTGTCCCATTCTATCTGAAGCCAGGGCACTGGTGCTGTGACTGTTTTCCCAAGGTGGGAGAGAGAGAGAGACCTAGCCTGGAGCTAGCTGACCCCGGGCCTGTGTGCTGACTTCCTGGGGTCCTCAAACCACTGTATTTTTCTGTTGAGCCTGTACTTGGGGAGAGATCAGCAGCATATGAGGAAGAGAAAAGAATCATGGTACCTCAGGGTTTCTTTCCCTTTACTCACTGACAGCCATTGTCTGTGGGCACCTCATGCTTCTCTGCACTCTGTTGGGCTGTGGAGGTAACGATCACCCAGGCCAGTCTTCCCTGCCTGGGATTCGCCCTTGGAGAAGAGGCCTAGCAGGGCAGGCTCCCTCTGGGCATCCCTGGGTGCAGCTTCTGGACACATGCCTTCTCTTTTTTTTTTTTTTTTTTTTTTTTTGAGGTGGATTCTTGTTCTGTCACCAGGCTGGAGTGCAGCGGTGTGATCTCGGCTCACTGCAACCTCTGCCTTCCAGGTTCAAGTGATTCCCCTGCCTCAGCCTCCTGAGTAGCAGGGACTATAGGCACATGCCACCCCGCCTGGCTAATTTTTTGTATTTTAGTAGAGATGTGGTTTCACCGTGTTGGCCAGGTTGGTCTCAATCTCCTGACCTCATGATCCTCCCGCCTTGGCTTCCCAAAGTGCTGGGATTACAGGTGTGAGCCACCATGCCCAGCCCACATGCCTCCTTTAAAGTATCCAGGGGTGGCTCAGGTTGAGTGGAGGTAGAAGGAGAAACAGACATGTTTACCATCAATTTTCCAAAGCTCCTGATCTTTCCCAAGATTGTAACTGAAAACTGCTGTCTCTTGTGTTCGTTTTGGGGGTGGGGGTGGGGGTGGTGGTACTGGCTGGGCCATGCGTGTGAAGCGGTGTGTGTCTCTGATTCACCCTCTGCTAATTGAGAGAGCGTTATTTACATTATTTATTTGTTTTGACACAAGTGGTTTCAGTGTTTTATCCTAGCTAATGGCTTCTTAAAGGTAATAAAATCCTTCCACCCTAATTGGTCAGATAAGACACTTTTTCTTGTATGCTTAAATAAAGCAATTAGTGAAGTGCTTCTATCCAAAATGACTTTTTTTGTCCTTTTTAAAAACCAATTTACTGTTACTGGAAACTTTTTATACAATAAAGCAATCATGCAGATTAAAGAACACCCTGCAATCCTTGTCTTAATCTTAACAATGGGCTCATGTTTCTTCCATTGTGTTTGTATTAGGGGGGGGCCCAGCCAGTTTTGTGATCCTGACCTGACTCTTTGCTTTGTGCCTGAGGCCTTTGCCTTGGTGTCTGAAAGTTGATCTATCTATTGGATGCTTTCAAAGGGACAATCTATTTCCTGTCCAATATATAAAAAGGAAAACTGCCTAAAAGGCAGATAATTATTTTTCTTATGAAAATATATGCTTTACATACATACCAAAAAACATTTGGAAATCTTCAAATAAAACTATGGTGTGCTTTGTTGAGAAGTACTTCTTACACACAGGCTCTAGGAGATTTGACTTTCTAAATGACTGTTTCCTACTCTTACACCAAAACAGGGACAGGGTTTGCCAGTGGAACTCAAAGCCAAGACTGTATTTCCCCTTGATTGTGCCCGTCCTGGGGTCCCCCAAGGAGGACCTTTGTCCTGAAGCTTGACTTTCATGCATACGTACGCTGGTGGGAGATGTGGACCTGAGTCACAGTAGGGGTATGTGGTTTCATCACCAGAACCTATACATAAAAAAGATAGCAGCTGGCCTGCCAGGTCTCCTTGGCACGCTTGGCGTTTGGTCCTGAGGTGCTGCAGTGACTCACAGCAGTTCCCTTCAGAGCCTGTTGACAAACCACACAAAAGAAACAACCGCCTCCTCTTGTGCTCTCACCTTGTTTTTTGTTTAGAAATTACATTTCCCCAAGTTGCTTGTTGGCCACTGGCTGTGTCCAAGAATCAAATCCATTCCCAAAGGAGAGACGTTTGCCATAGGGTTTAAGAACACTCTGACCGGCAATGATATTTTAATAACATTAAAGAATCCTCCATCCCGAAGGGGACCACATAAAGGTGCCAACACCTGTGTGATTGGTGACCTCTTGGGTTATGTTCTCAGCTGAGTCTTTGGGGGCCCAGTCTTGAACCGGCACTACAAAAGCATGGGACACAATGTGAAGAAGCATTGCCATCAGTGGAGAGCTGCAAGATGCCACCAGTGACTTGGAGGCATGACTTGCCAGGATGCCTGGAAGTGGGGGGCCATTGGAGTGCCCCTTTGAACACTCACTTTGACAGTAGGTAAACAGGCTGGATATAGATTTCCTCTGTGAAATTTAGTGACCATTCTGTAAAATGTCTGATCCTGATCTGATGTTTGAGCAATCTAAAATCCTTCCTGGTCAATCTGCCATAGTTCTGCAGCTGCATCAAAATTTACCTAGCCTAGCACCATTTGCATCTAAATCTAATGGGATAGCATGCCATTCTACATGCCATGAGCTTGATCATAGGCATCCCTTACTCTAGTCAAGCCATGTGGAGCCATGTGGAGAGACCTTTTCACAGAAGGGTTGTCCCTAGTTGGGTGTAGGGAAGACAGCTCATCACAAAGTCTTCCTGCTTCCCCATGGTTATAATTCATCAATTAGTTATGGTAAGTTTTCATTTCTTCTGAGATTTAGGTAGGCAGACCTGGTTCATCCAATGTGAGTTACATTTCAGGACTTACCACTGTGTATGCACATACATGCATGCCTACAATTGTATATTTTGGTGTGTATTAGCTCTGAAAAACTAATTGTCTTGGCCAGACAAGGTGGCTCATGCCTATAATCCCAGTACTTGGGGAGGCCAAGGCAGGTGAATTGCTAGAGGTCAGGAGTTCTAGACCAGCCTGGCCAACATAGTAAAACCCCGTCTCTACTAAAATCTCTACTAAATACTGAATTAGCTGGGCGTGGTGGCACACACCTGTAATCCCAGCTACCAGGGAGGCTGAGGCAAGAAAATTGCTTGAACCTGGGAGGCGGAGGTTACAGTGAACCGAGATCACACCACTACACTCCAGCCTGGGCAACAGAGGGAGACTCCATCTTAAGACAAAGCAAAAAAAAAACACCTAATTTTGTTTCCAAATTTTCTTGACCACCCAGATGCCACTTGTAACCTTGTTGCCTGATGGTTTTGTTTAATTCTGTT